ATAAATACATATGTAGTTGCTTGCCCGTGCTTCTCTGCTTGGTTTTCACTTCTCGTTCTCTCGGTTTCATATAAGACACACATGATCTTTATACACACGCACACACACTTTCTAAAACTATGTTCCTTGTTATCTTTTGCTTTACTTGGCTTCCTTTTCAACTTTCTTGTCTTTTCACGTGTTCATACGAGTACATAACTATCACAGCGCATAGTTCACTACAAAAGCTTCTTCTATACAATTTGTATGACGCTTTTGCCTCCCGCTCCACATACTTTCACTTGCCCGCTCGCCTTTTCTTTCTTCCACATCAAGCCTATGTACACAAGCTGGCCCTGTGTTTGCACTTCGTTGGCTATCTTCTGTCTTTGGTATTAATTTTTAATGTATGAAATTGTCAGCAAACATTTGATAAATGTGTGAAATATGCGCCTACCACTACCTGTGCCTCTATTGTTGAAATGTGTTTGATGTGTACTCAAGGGCGGTAGAATAAAGGTCTTACCTCAGAAAATAATTCTCGTCGTCGTTGTCAAGCTTTGTTGACCGTTGGGCTTTTCTTGGTTTGTTTTGCTGTTCGGGTTGTGGTTAAAGTGCAATGGGGCTAGAAAAGAGTTATCAAAGAAATATAGTTAACGTTGGAAAATTTTGAATATGCAAATGGATATTATTGATTTATTGCTTCAATAAGTTATCTACAACTTCTTGCGGGTGAATAAAAGGATATTAATATTAGTGATACAAATGTCGAGTAAACGTAGAGTGTGGCATATTCTAAGGCGTTGAGGCGGTGGAAAGTGCTAAATTTGCTCGTTGCATATTTTTTGGCGCAGGATCTTGAGTGAAACAAGTTTCGAAATACCAGCTGCTGGGCATAGTTTTAGCCGTATGGACTCGGAGACAAAACTCGAAATAACTAAAAACCGATCTGCTCTATGTACCGGTTCTAATGTAAAACAGCTTTGCGTGGCACATTTTATGGGGTAAAAGCTGGCAAACAGCGTTTTTGTTGAAAAATCCGCTTTTGATGTATTTGTGCGCAGAATTCTTTGCCGTTAAATATTTTTGCAACAAGAGCTTAGGAAAGGCTGCTCAAATACTTGTAAATTACCCATTTTTGCTACTTAGTTGCAAATTTTTAGCATTTAAATAGCCCGAATTTCAGAAATTGCTGAGCAGATTTTTTGTTTATTTTTGTTTATTTTTTTTTTTTTTAAGCGAAAGCAACGACTGAAAGGAAACTTCTTTGGGTTATATTTTTGGGCTAAGAAATTTTGAAAAGTTTTAAGGCATATTTTTAGGCGTAATATTTTTTTTTAAATAGGTAGAATTACGCAAAATGTTTGCTGCTGTGCGTAATAGAAGCTTCAGGAACCATTTTGCCTCAATGCATAATTTTATGCACATGAGCTTAGAGAAATTCTGATTTTGCGTTAAATTCTGCACATAGCTTGTCGTTAGGCGTAGTAGTATGTTATACAAAATTTATGTCAGCATTTTTTCAGGTTTTTAATTTTTAAATTTCATTGCTTCTTTAAATTTTATGTTGCTGCTCCAGTTTTAATCGCTTTACACCTACACACATATGTCTTAAAACTCTTCACAATTTCACTACTTTTCCCACGTGGCTGTAACTGCTAGAAACTATTATATGTATTATGTATTTATAGCAGAACTTTCTATACACTCTGAAAGACTACCATCACTAATACTACATGCCTGTAATACAACCTATACAATTTCTTACTAACCCTCGTTAAGATACATTTGTACATACATACACAAATTAGCAATATATAAAAAAAAAAAAATGTGAAAGAAAAAATTTTTTTCTAACAAAGAAATGTTAAATCAACTTTTTTGTGTGTGCCCCGCCTCGTGGTGAAGTAATTTTTTATTAGAAAAAACAAATCGTCGCCGAAAGAATTTACTGAAAAATACTTTCAAACTATCTTTTAACTCAACTTCTTATTTTTCAAGTATGGAATATTTAAGATCTATAAAAATAAAAAACTGCCAACTACCTCCAAAGAAATTCTACGTGGCAGACTAAAAACTACTAATATTCCTTATTTGTTGCTTTTTCTTGGTATATTTTTTTGCATTGCCAATTGCGTTAATTTCAGCGTCTTTATTTAATTCTATTGTCTATTCAATTTTGTTTGTAGTTTATTTAAGGTTTTTTATTTAAAAGTTTAATTTTTAAATTTGTATATATGTACTTTTTTATAATTTTTAACTTCTTTATTTTTTAATTTTTTAAATTTTCCTTTTAATATTCTGTTTTTTTTTTTGTAAGTATTATTTTATGTTTTGTTAATTTATCTTTGTAGTGATTTTTATTATCGATTTTTTAATTGTAAAAATGTTTTAAACAATTGGATTTTATTCTTCTAATTTCATATCATTTGATTTTCTTTTACTAACTCCTTTAGGTACTTTTTTATTTTTTATTCTTTCATTATATATATATTTATTACTAAATTCGTATTTCTAATACCTAATTTAAATCCTCTTCAGTTCTACTATTTTCTATACATTATTTACCCTAATATAACTATTTACCACCATCTATATGCTACCTACTCTGTTCTGTCAGCGTCTGTTTATACGTTCTGGAGTTTGATTTTCAAAGAATTCTCTTAACTATGGACTGATGTGAAGTTGTTATTGTTGCTAATGTTACTATTGTTAATTTAAAGAGTTCATCTTTTTCCGCTCATTGTTCTTCAAAAAATCATTTATCTCGAATTATATATGTTACATACAAATATTTACTAATTATAATGTAGTAAATGAGTTCTAGCACACACACGAACATTTGTAGATAAATATATTACAATTTTTTAAAAATAGAAAAAAGTACTAGAATTAAAAAAAAAAATAGAATTCGATATGAAATTCACATTTGAGATTAAGATGCAATATTTTTTTCCATTTTTTCCGTTGTTTTTTTCTATTATCTTTGCTTTTTAAAAGAAATAAATTATACTTTTTATTACTGCCTTAATTAAAAGTAATCGATTTCTTATTAGCAACATGAAGTTTACTCTAGTAGTATTTAAAAACTTTATACTTTGAACGCCGTGTTAGTAAGTTATATGTGCGTTTATCAAATTCGATAAATCACTTGCAACTCCTTCGAATCTGTTTGGCTTTGTTTGACCTTCAATTCATAGCGCATTCAATTACAATTTGAGCTAATAATAAAGCTTCATGTAAACCTCTACACCCCATTTCGAACCTCGTGAAGGTATGTAGCTAAAAGATGTGGTATCGAAGTTTCCGTCATGTACCAGCGTCGAATATCAGCAACCCGAATATCAATTGAAATAAACATGAATTTTTTGTGGAAGAATATGCGCAAGACCTTTTGCGAAAAAAATAATAAAGAAAAGTCTACTCCAGTTTTCCTAAATTTCGCTATTTATATGAAGCAAAAAAAAAAACGAAAAAGCCGTCAGCAAAAAAAAACTTGCACTAATTTTACAAAAATTTTATAATCCTCTTAACTGCATACCCAAAAAATTAAAAAAATTCTCTTCAGAAAGCTCGAAATTTGGTTAAAAATTTATATAATTTTTCTAAATTTTGTATAAAGTTTTAAAGTGTGATTTATATGGTTTTTGTTAAAGCATGGATCATATTTTTATAAAAATATATCAAACAAATTTTAGCTTGAAAAACATTGTAAATAATAAAAACGAAACACCATTCATACATTTTTGATCGCCACTGTAAGTGTCATTCAGTGGAAATTTGACTGCTAGCAATAGTAATTTTTATTGCGGATTTCCACCGTACCGTTGCACATTAACCGATTACTTTTAGTTAAGCTAAAATTGGTATTTTTTTTTTTATATGAGAAAAGTGGAGTTATTTATAGTTTTCTTTTTTTATGGCATCATTTTAAAGCGCACAAATTTAGAAGTAAATATTAGCAGAAATTGTGCATTTCAAAGTTCTACTGTATTCAAAAATATTTATAAAAAAATAGTGTAAATTCTTGATTTGAATGCAAAAAAAATATAGGGAAAATCGTAATGCCGTTGAAAAAAGTTTTAGAACTCGTTTTGTTTTTATAAAAAAAAAGTACTACAAAGGTTTAAAAAATTAGTTAAAAAGAACAAAAATATTAAAAAAAAATTAAAAATTCACAAAATTTTAAACTAAAAAAAAAATTAAAAAACCGAAATAAAATAATTACAACTCTTAAATATTCTTTGTTAACTCGCACTTTGTGAAAATTTTTTTTGTAGCAAATTTTAAATATTTACACCAACAGTATATATTTTTTCTTTAAGTAAAAACTGCATTTAAATAAAACTTTACGCTCATTCGCACTGTAAGATCTCACTTATCTAATATTCTAGCACTAGCGCTCATTTTGTACATATGTATGTCTAAAATGTTTTCTGTGACTGAATTTGAATTTCATTGAATTTTTCTTCAACATTAAATTGTATTGTTGTCGTGCATTAGTTTATGTAGTTTTATTGAAGAGTGTTTTGTGTTTTCTGCAAATGGCCAAAGTTGAAATGAATTGATTACAAATTAAATGTGTTTTGCTGCATACAATTTTCAGAAGAAAAAAAAAACATGGATTACATATATTTTTCGCATCCAACATATTACTTACTATTCGTTTCCTTGATCATATATTTGTAATTAATTTTTTCCTTTCACAAAAGTTTTTCTGCAAATGTGTTTTGCAAGCGTTAAATTTATCACCAAAAAATGCAAAGAAAAAAATTTGCAATATTTTAAAAAATTTTGAACATGCTCAGTTAAATAAAAATCCAAGCAAGCAATGCAACAAAATAATATATCCGAATATCCACTGCTACTACTAAGTCTTGTTGATATCCTTCAGAAAAACAACAACTTTGAACAACTCAACTTGAACACTTGTATGAAAAGCAAAAGCGCCAACTATTGTATGTTCGAAACCTTGTTTGTTTGAATTAATATTTCAGTCACGTTATGCGTTTTCACCGCAGGACACAGATTTCACCTCATCGTATCCAGGTCCATCAATGAATAGGCGCGGTTATAACGATTTTTCAGGCGGCGGCGGCGGCGGCGGCGGTGGCGGAGGTGGTGGTGGTGGCGGCGGCGGCGGTGGTGGCGGCATGGGTTCCATGAATAATATGGCGCCCGCCGCCAGCATGAATTCTCTGAATTGCGGCAGCGGCGGCGGCGGCGGTGGTGGCGGTGGCGGTGATGGTCACGGTGGCGGCTCGAATGGCACAAATCTAATTGTGAACTATCTGCCGCAAGATATGACAGATCGCGAACTATATGCTTTATTTAGGACAATCGGTCCTATAAACACTTGCAGAATAATGAGAGATTATAAGGTGAGTTGATTTATCATATTATAATGTTTTTTTTTTAATTTATTTATATGTTTATCCTGAACTGTCGTCACTACACGCCTAAAGTATTGTAATACAAATAAATTTACGCCCACCAATGCTGTGCGGTGACCGATTTTTTGTTTGCCCCAATTTACATGCAGTTGCCTAAAAATAACCTCAAAATCACTTTCGCAACTTTTTTATTAATTTTTTATTTTTGTGTGTGTAGAGTTTTACCCGCCTCACTTGGCTGGGAATCATTTATCATTGCGGCTGACAGTGATGTTGCAGCATTTGTTACCTAAAATGGCTTTTAGAATAGCGAAAATATGGAGCGTACATTCTGTTTTTTACATATTTTTATTTCTCCCTCTTTTCTCAATCAAATTCAGTAAAGAGCGCAATGTTTTTCTTGCCGGCAAAGACGGGAAAATAATTATACATCTACATATATGATTACTTCAATGTCCTATACGCTCTTGGAGGCAATAATATAGTTTTATTATTTAGAATGGGTAATGGGTGTGAGGGATATATGATGTCAATAAGGAGGCTGACTACCTAGCGAAACAAGCAACTACCCTTTTGTGGGCTCATCACTAGGCCCTACACGGGACCCTGTTCCCTTCGCTATCACCTCAGTAAAATTAATCTTTCAGGAGAAAACCTCTTTCGCTTTTGCTAGTCCTAGAGACTAGCTCACTTGGGTGGTGCTCATTGAATCTATTGGAAATTCGCAAAAAAAACACGCCATTGGACGTGCTAAGCTACATTCCCATATGGGGTCCTCTACCACACACAATAGGTCACTTTAGAGGTCGCGGTGCATATGGCCCACAGCAATAATAATATTAATATGTAGTTCAATAGTTCTTAAAGTGACGTTTCGAAATAGTCGCCTAAATAATGGATTTTGATACACATTTTAAAATATTTTATTTATTTTTTTTACATAACTAATTTTATTCAATTTATGTATTCAAATGTATATATTTTTTAAATAGATGATGGTAATCCTGTGTATTTTTTTTTTGGTAATACAAAGTTTCTTCATACCAATATGTATTGCATATAGTTTTTTCAACATATTTTTTTTTTACTTGATCGGATATTTAATTTTCGACCCTGATAACTTCTAAAGATATTTAATTTTGAAATTTTTTGAAGTACATAAATGTCCTATGCACATATTTAAATATTTTAATCATTCCAATCGGTCCGGTCATTCAGTAGATTATCGCGATTGAGGAATTATTTTTCTTTGTAATTTTATGCTTACTGCTTTTTAATTGCTGTCGATGATGAGTAGGTTCCAGTATTTGTCGAGTAGGTGAAACTTACCATTTTATCTACGAGGTGTAGCAAAAGCTCTTTTTATTAGTATTATTATTTTTTGTTGTGCCAAGTCAGGCCTTTGAGATCAGCAGCACCCGAAATGTGGGATTTGCTATAATATATCGTTGTGTATTCCGGCACTTAATTAAATTAAACGCTCCAATCATCTTTCAAAACTTAATGCTGCGACGTCAGTTATTCAGCGCTTTGTTTTCTTTTCACATTTCTTCTATATTTACTGTAGCTTTTATGAATTCATTTATTCACTTTACAAAGTTGTTGGCTTTTCAAACTGTTTTCCGCGCCTCCTTTTTGTTTTTGCCACTTCAAGTGTCAACTGTCAGATGTCAAATTTAATGACACACACGAAATGCGCGCGCGAATAGTATGGCGCACACAGCAGCGTCCTCGCATTGAGCATAGCAAGCACTTCAACAGGATTACAACGACCGCGAATCGTTTCTGCCTGATGGCCTAACTGTAGTGTCTGTCTGCCTTGTCTGTATTTTTGCTTTCTAATGTAGCCAGAGATACAATACACACACTCACTACCATACATACATATAACAGACACTTTCAATTCTTTTCTCCTGCCTCTGTAATTTAAAAGTACTGCAGCAATGGCGATACGATCGCGCTTGCTGTGCAGCATTTTTAATATTATTACACTGATTGATGTTGACGATTTGAATGTCGTCGGCGGCTGAAGTACGCGCTGCTGCTGCAGTGCGTTATATTCCTTTCATATTATCTATTTTGTGCTTTTTTGTAGTAATTTTTAATGCATTTTATTAAATTTCCCCTTTTTTTTCTTTTCCACTTTCATTATACAGACTGGCTACAGTTTTGGTTATGCTTTTGTTGATTTTGCTGCCGAAACGGATTCACAACGAGCGATAAAGAGCTTAAATGGCATTACGGTCCGCAATAAACGTTTAAAGGTGAGTGAAAACTTTGTAATATTTATTTTTAAATATATCTAGTTAAAATATTTTCGTGCGATATTATTTTCAGTACGAAATTATTTGCATAAGAAATATGTTGCTTTTGTTGACGTTCTCAAGCCGCCTACCCTCTGTAGTGAACTTTATTTCTAACTGCTGCCTTTTGTCAGCACTCAGGTCAAAGGTAAAGTGCTAGCAGTAACGCACACATTCCAAATCGCATTCCGTAAATTGAAAAAAAAAAAAACAAAAAAAACAATAACCGAACAAGGAAAAATGCTGTGCGAAACCATAAAATAGTGAACAATTAAAACTCACTAACAACCTTCCACTGCGGCATTGCACCGCTTTCCCTTTCAATGAAACACTCATATTGATTTCCTTTTGCTTTGTATCCTCTTTGTACAAATTAGAATTTCGAAATGATTTGAATTGAATGAAAGTGAGTGGGGTGCGTGCAGGCAATGGAATTCATTTAATTAATGGCACGATATTGAATTGAAATAAAACGCAGCGTTGTGTATTGAAATGTGGTGAAACGTGGTGAAATGAAAACATAAATTATAAAAGAAGCTATCGAAAAAACAACATAATTGAAAAAAAAAATAGAAGTAAATTGAGACAAATTTAAAAAGCTATTAAACAAATAAAATGAGAAAATTAGATACTCGTACCTAACAAAGCCGATGAAAAGGTGAAGCACAAAATAAAACGATTTAAAAATCAAGGTAAAAAATAGACAGTTTTAAAATTAATAAAAAAATATAGAAAACTAAAAAGTTAACAAAAATTAAATATAATAAAACAACAAAGAAAATATAAAACAATAAAAAATAAAACAAAGAAATAATAAAGAATAAATAAATATAATAACTTAAATCAAATTAAATTAAAAATAAGACCAAAAAATATCTAAAAATTAGACCAATAAATAAAAATAAAACCAAAAAATTAATAAAATAAAAAAGAAACAAAGATATAAAAAGGTTAAAAAAAAATATATATATAAAGGTTTAAACAAAAAATAAATGAAAACAAAAAAAAAAGATAAAAAAGTAATAACAAAAGATAATAAAGTAATAACAAAAGATTAAAACAAAAAAGCAAAGAAAAAAATTAAACAAAAAGTAAATAAAAAGATATAAAAAAGTTACAACAAAATAAAATAATAAAACAATGAAACAATGAAACAAAAAAATAAAATAATAAAACAATGAAACAAAAAAATAAAATAAAATAGATACAAGGAAATAAATTTATACAAAACATAAATATATACAAAAAACTAAAGATAAATTAAAAAATAAACTAAAAATACATAGATATCGAAAACAATAAGGAAAGAAAATAAAATTAATTATAAACTACAACAACAAAAACAGTAAGTAAAAAACAAAAAATAAAATAAAACAGAAAAATGCAATAAAAAACGTAAAAAAGTAGAAATTTTAGAAAAAACTATTAATTTTAAGAAGAATATCGAGCCCTAACCACCAAAAGGGCGTAAGCTGCAAAAAGTTATTTTTTATTAACTCGGAAATTACTTTAGATACCAATGTGAAGGTCAATGAAAAAGTTACGTTTGATGTTAGGTATATAATACTGGTGTGGTTTTATTTTCCCATCTTTAATGAAACAGGTGATTTTGTCGCTACGCCCTTTTGGCCGTCACAAAAAAGGCTGCAGCACGCAATTGCGGCGGTTAAGCTATAAATATATATATATAAAATAAACATTTTTTTTTGCATTACCAAAAACCATTTTGATGCCTTTAACTCATTTTTTTTTTTTGTTATTAAGAAAACACTTCTACATACATAACTTATTGGTTAAAATACTATTTGTCTATAAAAACTAATGCACACAAAACTTTCACACAAAAATGTAACAATTCCCCTCTGCAATGAGAAATTGTTCACGGAGAAAAAAAAAATGTAAACAGAGTACAATTAAGCACTTGAACCAAAATTGCTTTCGCTACAACTTTGTAACGGTACTTCGGAGGACTTTAAAATTATGACAGCTGGAACAGAAAATCCAAAATTTTGCGCTTACGCCCTTTTGGCGGTTAGGGCTCGATTTGTTTATAGCTAAAGAATGATATCCATTTTTACCGCAGTATGCCTTTCAATTTATTTAAATACCGCAATCAACAACGCCAAGAAATGACAAATGAAGCGACAAGTAAATCATCAGTTCTTCCACTTTATTGCAATTATTCACTGATATATGTATTTTTTACCCAGAAGAATTCCTGCAGGTAATTAAATTAACTTGAAACCAATTTAAAAAACTACTTTATTTTCAATTATAACTAATTGAAATTCTCACTTTTTTCCCTGCAACGAACTAATTTATTTAACATGGCGATGCCCCAGGAAACGAGTCAATTATCCGACTCTACATTTGATCTCAACTACTTTAAAATGCATTTGGCTTAAAGAACTTCAACTTGAACGGATGCAGGCATGTACAAACTTTTTCTCTCACATGCCGTCATTTTGTCCTGCAAGAAGTACATAAATACCAAAACTTTTCTACTCCATTTTTTATTGTGGATAAAAATAGCAAATCTTATTCTGGCCGTGTGTACAAAGGAGCAATGATGAGCCATGATTAAAATATTTTGAAAGAGAAAAATAAAAATAAATGTGAAAGCTAGGTGCAGCGGAAGTAGAGAGGGGAGAGAGAGTGAGTATAACAGCAATCAAGCGACATGAGCTGAAAAATTATAAAAATTTAAACGAAACATTCTTGAAGTTGATGAAGCGCAAAGAGAGAAAGAAAACTATGTAGCAATATTTTTGTGGGAGATGAAGACTTTTTGTATTTTTTCTTTGAGTGTGAGCGAAAGTTTTTGTCAATGAATATGGAAAGCGTAAGATAATTTCGCGGAACCATGGAAAAAATGTGTGGAGATACATACAGTTTAAATTAAAATAAAGGGAGGCGGTTTAGAATGAAATAAGATGGAATGAAATAAAAAAAAAGAATAAATAAATTAATATAAAGGGCGAAACTATACAGTGTTTACATGAGGCTATTTTACAGCAACTTTTAGTTGAAAGCAACAATCGCCAGGTGTGAACGACCTTTCAACTAATCGCTTTCAATGAAGTTGGGGGGCAGCCAACTTTTGATACAACTAATCGCCTCTAAAATTGCCTGTAAAATCGCCTCATGTGAACACCGTTTGAGCTTAAATGAAAATCGAACTGGAATAAAATAAAATAGACCAGAAATAATAATGAAATGTAAAAGTAATATTAACAAGAATAAACGTAAAATAACACTAAAAAATATATAATAGAAATAAAATAAAATAATAAAAAAAAAAACAAATAAAACAACAAACAGGCAAAAAAAAGAAAATAAATCAAATTATTATTATTGCTGCAAAAAGCGGCTATGAAGTCGTCAAATAGATGGTGCGTGTCGATCCTTTTCTCGCGGGTCTATTGAGAATACCTGGTATATGGTGGATTTCACAGATCTAAAGCTACACTGAGCTTCGACACAATATTCTCAATTCGACCTTGTAATCGTTCATAGAAGGCACTAAGATTACGATTACAGTAATCGTAATTTTAACTGTTTTTAAATTACGATTACAGTAATCGTAATTTTAACTTTTTTTAAATTACGATTACTGTAATCGTAATCTAAGTTCGTTCGATGAAGGATTACTGTAATCGCAATCTTGTTTTTTTAGCTTGTTGGGATTACTGCAAACCTAATCGTTTAGTAATCGTAATCCTTATCGCCCAGCTCTGGTTGGCAGGCCATCAGCTCCACCAGCTTTTTGGTTTTTCAGCCGCGTAATTGCTATTCGTACCTCGTACCGCGGCGGGACATACATATGTATAGCAGCAATTGCCATCATTACAGAGGTTGAAATCAAATGCTTGCTGCATATTTTAAAGCTCAGCAATAGTGATGCGGATATGCGGGTGCGGATGCGGAACCCGTATATGGTGCTTGCATACAATAGTTGCGTTCTAGGTGCTTCACGATTTGCAGCCGTTCCCGGTCGCCACCTTCCATGAGGTTTATTAATGGCGGAAGCAGATTTTACTCTACATCCTGTAAAGCTAATAATCACACTATTCCCATACCAATGGCAAAACAAGAAAAAAAACTGAGCGCATTATAATATAGAAAATTGTCATTATTTTGGGCAATTTCTGGATAAACAAGAAAAAATAATATAAACAAGGAAAAGTACAATAATAAAAAATTAACAAAAAAAAAAACACAAAAAAATTTACCAAAAAATGCTAAAATAAAACAAGAACAAAATTGATTAATAAGCAAAGAAATAAATAAACAAAAAATTAAAGAAAAGAAACAACAAAAGAAAAAAACAACAAACAAAAAACTGACAAATAAATTGTGATAATTTAATAAAAAAAAGTAAATATTAATAGAAAGTAAAAATTAATAAAAAAGTAAAAATTAATTAAAAAGTAAAAATAAAAAAAAAGTAAAAATTAATAAAAAAAGTAAAAATTAATAAAAAAGTAAAAATTAATAAAAAAAAATTAATAAAAGAAAATAATAAAAAAAAAATAATGAATAAAGTTCAAGTCAAAACTAAAAACTTTGAAAAAATAAAGTAAAAATAACCAAAAAATTAAAGAAATATAAAATCTATGCAAGGACGGAAAATAATATTCTTTTTTAATTTTAACCAAAAAAATCAACAAGTTGACATCGTCCTAAACCAATTTTAACTACAATCACGTATATTTGTGTACGTACGCGCTACTGTAATTTACAATGATTTTTATTTTTCGAATTTAACCAAAAAAGAATTGAAATCAATAATTAATATTTGAGTTTTAATTTTTCCATCAAAAATAATGATTATATCGAGGCCTAACCACCAAAATATCTTAAGCGACATTTTTTCAAAATTTTGTTTTTGATGCAGAAATTGATCTAGATGCTCTAAGAATATTTCGGCATCAAAAAGAAAGTTTTGAAAAATATCGCTTGCGTTATTTTGGCGGTTAGGGCTCGATATTATGATAGTAAGTTGCGTCTGTATGGCCTTTTCAAATTTATAAATACAGTGAAACCTCTCCTAACGGAGAGTGCACAAGTGCGCTCGGGTATAAAAATGCACTTAACGCAGTGTGCTGAATGCTGTCGATATCTAAGCGTGGCAGATAACAATTTTTACAGGCAGACATGCATCCATCCAGCCAAATACTTTGACATATGTATGTATACCCAACGCTTGTTCGTTTGTTTAGTCACGTGGAAATATTTTGTTGTTTGCAATTGCCAAGCTGTTGCTGCCATCGAATGTTTATAGTGAACTAATACTGACTCCTCCATTCAATTGCATACATATTTAGTAGAGCAAGGCAAGGGAAGCGAAAAAGACGTTTGCCTGCCTGCACTGCTTTGACGGTTCATAGCTCTGTCTTTTCTTGTCTTGTCTTGTATTGTCTGTTGTTGCTATTCAATTTGATTTCATTGTGGCGTCTACGCTTGTGGAATTACGCAGGAGAGGAGAGAAATACTAACAATAATGTTAGCGTACAAACACGTCGTTAAAGCATAAAACAGTTCCCATTCAATGACAATTGTAGAATGCGTGCGGAAAGATTCGCAGAAATTGCTTGAGAAAAAAAAAAAAACCAAACCAAAAGGAAACAAGCAATCAAAGGATGCTAATTTCGTTGATTCATATTGCAATTTTGTTAATTTTTCATCTTTGACTTTTGATAGCAATGAAAGAGAATAACTTTTGCTATCAAATAATCAAAGCGAATTCATATAAGGCGATGTTACCAGAGCAGCTGAGATTTTCGTCTCGGTGATTTTTAATGCCAAAATGATGTATTTCTTGTACATTTGTTGTAATTCATATTGTCACTGCTTAGTGTAATTTATGTTTTTGTACGCCTACGACCACTTTGTATGAACTCATCTTGCAAGTAATACTTTTTTGGACTGAGTGACAAAAACACAAACCATATTTAAGTGAAAAACAAGGATAGGTATAATGTCGATTTTTTTTTTTTCTGCAAAAAGTGTGACCTTTTCATTGCCCTCTTTTTAGTAGATATTTGTGCGCAGAGTGCAATGAAAAGGTAGAAAAGAAATATGTACATTTTTGCTAGCTTTGTGTAGACTTAGATTTGTTCATTTTGACAGGTACAGAGTTGGCTTCATTTCGATACAAATTTCTAGACAAAAGCATCCTGTGACTACCAAAATGTATAAATCTGTAAAAGTGTACAAATCGTGCGATGCCTGCTTAAGAAGGCACATTTTTCGTTCAAATGCAATAAGAATGGTCGCGGGTAGGAAAGAAGGAGCAAAACAGAAATATTTCCCCACCATATTTACGTAGATACATGTATGACTCCTAAGAAATTCTAGCACAATATTAAATCCGAAATATATAAAGTTTAGCCCTACATACATTTGTATATACGTTTGTGCATTTAACTCATTAAATAATTTCTACTACCTTTATTCTAGGTTTCATATGCTCGCCCCGGTGGTGAATCGATTAAGGATACTAATTTGTATGTAACGAATCTACCACGTACAATAACCGACGACCAATTGGATACCATATTCGGTAAATATGGCATGATTGTACAAAAGAATATACTGAGAGACAAATTGACGGGCAAACCGCGTGGCGTTGCATTTATAAGGTAAGTTTTTGGTTCACATTGCATTTTACACAAATTAAATGTCAATTCAAATTTTACACTCGATTATCTTTTCTACCTATTACACTTACAGATTCAATAAACGCGAGGAGGCGCAGGAAGCAATTTCGGCACTGAACAATGTCATACCGGAGGGTGCGTCTCAACCGCTCACTGTACGCCTGGCCGAGGAGCATGGCAAGGCGAAAGCGCAACATTACATGTCACAGCTGGGCTTGATTGGTGGTGGCGGTGGCGGCGGTGGTGGTGGTGGCGGCGGAGGCGGCGGTATGGGTGGAGGTATGGGCGGCGGCATGGGCGGCGGCATGGGTGGCGGCATGGGTGGTCCACCACCACCCATGAATATGGGCTACAACAACATGGTGCACAGAGGTAGACAAAATAAATCACGTTTCCAAAAGATGCATCCCTATCACAATGCACAGAAATTCATTTAAATAATGAAAAAACTCTTATTGATACGATCGCAGTGATTGATGATGATCGTTTGCTCGTAGTATAGACGATCCTTGATAATAATAAGATATGATGATTATGATGTTGATAGAGAATTTTTTGGCGAAGCAAACTCATGAAGTACAGATAGACAGACAATGCATGAAAGCGCGGAAAGCTAAGGATAAAAGAAATGTGAATTACAATATTTTTTGTTTTTAAACTTCAACAAGCCCATACTACAACGCGCGGATAGCGTAATAAAAATTGAATAATTTTTTTCTTATTTTTAATTGAATAGATTTTTTTTGTAACTTTTTTTTAAATATTTTCCTTAATTTGTTTCATGCGATGTGAGACATAAAAATCCCTAATATTTATAATAATAATCCGTGTTGCTTCAGCTTTTGGGCTACCTAAGCGAAGCTAAAAAATATCTAGTAATATTCAATTTATTTTTAAGCGTGTTTCTTTTTGTTTTAAGTTTTTTTTTGTAAATGCTGGCTGGTTTAAATCTGATGAGTTAGTATTCTAAAAAGTTGCTTTGATGTAAGTAAAATGTTTTCTTGACATCTAATATTTCGATAATATGCATGCGTTTTATGCGTAATTTCACATAAATCGTAGAACGCGTGGGTTTTTGTATCCGAGTAACTTGTCTGAATATATACACATCAGTTTTTAACTTAAAAAGAGCCGTATTCCCATAGAGGTTTTAAAATTTATCTGCCTTGAAAAAACGTGTTTGAAGGGCAGATAAATATTAAAACCTTCTTGAGAAAACGACAGTAAGCAGTTAAATTCTATTTTTTCTACGGAAAAATTTATATTTTTTTCATATCTTTTTAAAATCTCACAAAAAGTAATTCGCAATTTTGTGGTACTATAAGAATTTAAAAAATTAAAAAATAATCAAGTAGCATACTAATATTAACCCATATTATCTAAATATACATAGAACACATATATTCAAAATATGTAGAGAATACTTATTACATGAAGCAATTAAGATTAAGCATTACAAACAATCTAAAAAAAAAAAAAAAAAAAATAGTGTGGAGCTCAGAACCAATTTTTTCGCCTTATATATGTAAAATGCGCCAAGAATAACTGCAAATTTGTTCAAAAACGTCTTTCGGGTTTCAAAAACCCTTTTCTTCTCTTTGTAAATTGGGCTGCTTAATGTTTTTGTGCTCCTAAAATAATTTCGATTCAAAGTAACTTTTTTGCACAGCATAATATTTTTTTTTTAGTGTCAAAGGCGAGTATTGACTTTCAGTTTTGAATATTGAAATTTGCTTGCTCATTCGAAATTTCTTGTCGCAGCAAGAAAGCCTGCATACAGAGAAAAATGAAAGGCGCCGCACGGCGCAAGTTTTTAAACAAAACTTTGAAGCTTAAGAAAGTTTGCTATTATATATATTTTTTTTTTGTTTGTGATTTTTTATTTTTTTAAGAATTTTATATCAACCTAAATATTATAATTTGAAAATGAATAGTTATGTATGTACATATATGTACTATTTTTTTTTATATATTTTTTCTTTTTAATTTTTTTAAATTTTTTAATTACACATTTTTTTGTATAAGTTTTTTTTTTAATAAAGTTCGCCGCGATTTAGCAAATGTTTTTTTTTGTTTTTTTTTTTAATATTAATTCCTAATAATTTTTGTTTTATGCTTTGAACAATATTCATACGTATAATTGTAGTGCCAGTCGCAAACAAATCCAAAATGTTCGCCCAGTTTATGCCAAATTTCTATGCTTACAGTGCCCTTACATATGTATGTATGCACGTATATACATACATATTTAGCGTCGCTAAACACGAATAATGGCGCGAGGTCAAAAGTTGACCACGCATAAGAAAACTTCAGCGAAGAAATACTCTTAACATGGTTGACGGCGAAGAAAGACGCGTTAAAATATTTGACCGCCAAGAAGGACGCGTCAACTGTTTTCCCGGGTGTAACAGTATGTTTACGGGTGTAACAGTATGTAAATTCCCCAAAGAGTTTTTGGGGAGTGATGCTGAAGTGACATCCCTTGGTCAGGTATAAATCTATGTTTACGTGTCTTTCTTCGCCAAAGTTTTTCTTAAGCGCCCTTTTCCGTAAATTTTTTTTACGCTTCTTTTTTCGCCGTCGAAACACTAGTGCGCCTTTATTCGTGTCTAGTGACGATAGTTATATTGTGTACATCTTATCTACATAAAAACTTCAAAAATATTGGTTTTTGAATATGTGTCATAACACCACATTTTTTCAAATTTGTCTCTTTCAGCCAAAACCACTTAATCGTAAAAAGCTACGTACAGATCTTTAAATTTCATAACAAAAAAATTAGGGCTGTGCGATTAATTGATTATAAAAAATTTTAATTAGTCATAAAGTAAATAACTTATTCGATTAATTTGAAATCATGATTACTCAAAAGTTCAGTTACTCGAGTAATCAAGATTATGATTAACCGAAAACAAAGATATTTGAGTAATTTGCTTTATAAATATGTAATCAACATTAGTGGTATTCACCAAGTTGGTCAAGTGGCCCGGCACTCTGGCAAAAGAGCAAATGGGCTCAAGTAACGACTGGACAACAGTAGTTACTTGAGCTGAGCTGCTCTTTTACCAGACTGCTAAGCCACTTGCTCACTTTGGTGAATACCACTATTATGAGTAAAATGCGTAATCAACATTTCAAAGTACTCTTTACATATAAAAAAGTTGAAATTCATTGATACTTTGAAAACAACGTTTCTGTTTTCAAAAATTAAAATTAAATATTTTTTTCATATGCAGAATGTAAAAAAGAAAATAAGCATTTTCCAAAGCAGAGAGCAAAATTAATTTTTTGAGTGATGCTATTTCAAGTAACTCGATTAATCATCGTTTTGAGTAATCAAAATCTTGATTGCTCGAGTAATTGATTAACCGAATAACTGATTAACCAACTTGCTCGAGTAATCGAATAATCGCACAACCCTAAAGAAAAATACATTCTTTTATAGGAGTTTTTGCTAATTTAAACATCGGGGGTTTTCCCTCACTTTCTTCATACCTTTTCTCCAAGATAATAAAATCTCTTACATTCCTACAACAATTTCTTCCGAAAAATATCTTCCGTTTAAACAATTAGCATTTAAACTTAAAACGTAACGTATTAGCCAAATGCATCCACACAAAAGAATACACACGAAGAATGGTGAGTTCATCAAGAAATATTTATGCGCTTGCTGCAATGAAAGTCATGATTTGTTTGTGTTAAACGAGGAAGTAGTTCAGTGCTCTCTGGCGCTTATGAATTATGTTACGCAGATACATACATATGTATATATGAATGTTTCTGGATATACTACAATTCTCAAAACCGACGTTAATTTTCTTAAAATCGTTTTATAGGGCTCTACCCTTTACCACTGGTAGGGTTCAGTAGAACACCGAAACTGAAGTCACTTTAGGCGTGAGATTCTCTTTTGATTTTATCGATATAACAATATCATCATGACATAAGCACAATACCGCCACGCTGAGGTGTTTCACGTTGCGGGTTTTTCACGGCAGCAGAGAACACAGTGTACTCTAGCAGCAGCTGCAAACTTGCGATCCAAAATGTCGATACTATAAAAATACCTTGAGGCTCTGCCAATTACAGCTTTCCCGTTGCTTGGCGTTGGTGTTTTTGACAACTAAACTAACAATACATACGTATGTAGGCAACGCTGACGTCAAAGCAACAAGAAAGTTGGTCAACTCTCATCGTTTTGTCTTGCGTTGAAAACCACTTGATGTAATTAAGTAATCATTCACCTAATTACCACACAAAATTATGCACTATCGCTACTATAAAATTTTTTGAATGTTTTTATATATAAAATTTTGAATTCAAAAATGTAAAACATTCGATGTCAGTCCTCTCGATTGCTCTCTCATGTTTGGCGTGGAAATGCCTCTTTTATAAAAAAGTCTCTTTCTTTTTACTTCTACTGAAATCTGTTGTTTGAAAGCACCTTCCTTTTAAAGATTTCACATTTACAGGCGATTCCCGTTAAAAAAGAAAGTCGGTCACGAATGTACACCAAAATGTATTTAAATTAACAAATTGGTTTGTTGTTCAATATTTTGGTATGCATCTTATCGACAACTACTTGTGGCAACAAATTTTGCTGTTGGTTTACGTTTCCGATAAGAAACTAAACAACGACTCCTGGGCTCATAACCTTTATAAAATTTACGCCATAAAAGTGGCGAATAAAAAATTTAGAAATTTCTTCGCTGCGTGCTGATATCTGCAAAAAAAAAAAATAAAACTTTTTCGACGAAGGCCTTGATTCTTTACAATTTCCCCTATTACGGTTGGCGTCTTTCGTCTTCGTAATTAAATTGAGTTAATATGTAATTTTTTCCAGCACATACTGAAATGTAGTCTTGTTGAGCCGAAAATAGTCTTCACATATGAAATAAAATTTTTTAGCAACTGTAATATGAAAAATTTCAAAATGCTCTGACTAACTTTTATCCGCGAATTTAAACTGTAAAACTTGTTATTTGGCAAACTAAATACATCAGAGTTCTGCTTGATAATTTTTCTTTTTACTGTAAGTTCTTTTTTGCATTCTTCATCGCTTGAGCTTGATGAATCAGAAACAAGGAATATTTTTACGCGACAATATTCAATTAAAATAATCACACAAATCCGTAGAACAAAACCTTTTGCATAAAAATTTTAAACAAAATGAAACAGCCAGATGCAGAAATGACTAAATTGGGTATTTCCTACATTCGATGCTTGGCTGTTTTGTAATTTATTTAATATGCCAATACCTTAACACTTAAACATTTAACACTTAAAGGCATTCGCCGTTGAACAAGAAAGTCGGACACGACTCCTGGGCTCATAACCTTTATAAGTTTTACGCCATGAAAGCGCTGAATAGAAAATTCTAAAATTTATTATTTGCGTGTTGATATCTGCAAAAAAAGACCTCTTCCTAAATCTATTGTTTGAAAGCACGTTCCTTTTAAACATTTGACATTTAAAGGCAATTGCCGTTGACAAAGAAAAGCGAACACGAATGCCCATAACCTGTTGAAGATCACACGATTTATTAAAACAATGGAGTAA